TTATCATCCATAATATTTTTAGATTTTATGAATTAATTATTTTTATATGAATTAAATATTCATTAAAAACAAATTTCAAATGTCACAAACAACAAATTTCTTATAAGAAATTTACTTTTAATGGAATTATGAGAGTAATGTAAAAATATGTTAATATGTGACACACAATTAGTCAAACTTTCAAAATTTAAACGTAAAAGTTTAAAAGTCGCAAAAAACACGAATATCACATGCTGCGCAAAATAACAGCCAATATAATTTAGGCACAATTTACCTCGTCGCATCGTCCCGCAATAGTTTCACTTCCCTTGTCTATCTCACAAGTTTATGCTCGGTCTCTATATTCCTATGTCTATGCTTCGTGAGCCGCTGTTATTGCATATTTTAACAGTTGTATGTGTCGAAGGGTTAGTGTATTAAAAGGTATGCATTATAAAGAATTTTGTGTATAATTGTTATTTATTAATTTTGTTATTTAGTGGTTTCTCAGTTAATAAAAAAATAGGTAAATTATATACATTAGTAATGAAAATTCAGAAATTAAAATTATGCACATAATAAAAATACGGCGAATTAGAATTATACGTTTATAATAGAAATTCGGCAAATTAAAATTATGTACTTCATAAAAATAAAGAATTAAAATCATGTACATAATAGAAATTCGGCGAATTAAAATTATATACATAATAAAATTTCGGCGAATTAAATTATGAACCTATTAAAAATTCAAGAATAAAAATTATGTACACAATAGAAATTCGACGAAACAAAATTATGCACATAATTAAAATTCAAGAATTAAAATTATGTACATAATTAAAATTATGTACATAATTTTAATTCGCCGTATTTCGATTATGTATATATAATTTTAATATGTTGAATTTGTGTGTGTGTGTGTGTGTGTGTGTATTATGGACATAATTTAATTCGCTGAATTTCTATTATGTAAATAGTTTTAATTCGCTAAATTTATATTATGTACATAATTTTAACCCTTAGTCCCGATGGTTCTTTTCGGCACCTTTAATCCCGACTCATGGGTCGTTTGCGTCTTTGCGTTATTTGGATCAGTAAAAACGCTTTAAAAAATCTGAAGAAATTCATGGAGCTTCTTGCAACCTTCAACTTGAAGTCCCAATCATAATATTTCAATAAAAATTATTTTTTTATATAGTTTGTCCGTACCCGTTTTCAAAAATTACAGCACTTTGAAATTTCGTTTGGGTCGCAAACGACCCATGAGTCGGGACTAAGGGTTAATTCTTGAATTACCATTATGTACATAACTTAAATTCCCAAATTTCTATTATGTCCATAATTTTTATTTGTCGAATTTCTATTAAGTATAATTTTAGTTATTTACATATTAGAAATACGGCGAATTAAAATTATGTGCAGAATAGAAATTCAAGTATTAAATATATTTCCGGACAATTATTACAATTCGTTTAATATGTCGACATAGATCGTTGTTTTTTGACTGATATCACTGCTGTTCTAAAGTTTGTCACTGAAGATGGTTAAATAATAATCAAAACATTTGACAACTGATTGCTGTTATTGCTTTATTACAACTTTACACCAAGATCGTGTACGTGCTCTTTGCCTATTTGTTACTCTTTAATTATTATTTACTGAGCCTAACTAAAAAGCGAATTAAAATTATGTATATACATAATGAAAAATCAAAAATTAAAATTTTGTGCATTATAAAAATTCGGCAAATTAAAATTAGGTTTATAATAGATATTCAGTGAATTAAAATTATGTATATGAATAATAGAAATTCGGGAATTAGAGAGTTATGTATATAATTGAAATTCAGCTAATTAAAATTATGTACACTCGCAGAGCAAAAATTTGTTTTCGCGCGCGCGATGCGCGCGCTTGTGTTCTCTAGTATATATATATATATATATATATATAATTTATTCAATCAGCTTATTAGAGCCAAGAAGGGAATATATATATATAAATATATATATATATATATAAAATAGAATAAAATATAAATAAAATTATTTAAAAAAAAAGAATCTAAAGAAAAATTGTAACATTCAACTATTTATTAGAAAATAAATAGAATAAGTAAAAAAGTAGATTTTTGTACGCATTATTTACTAAAAGCAAATAGTTCACGACTAGGCGTGGTTCATGCAAACTCTTGATCTATTTTTTTCCTTTTTACATCCTCTCACTCTCATGTATGCTCTCATGTTGTTTTGTGTTGTGTCTGTTACTCCGATTCAATATCGTCAGATTATAGTGCGTAAATTATTATCTTTTTTTTCTAATTTTATCAGAAAATACATAGACTTATACGTTTATGACGATATGATAGATTTATTAATAAAAAATACACGTATGATTATTTTTTTATATCACATAACATGATTTAACCTTTAGTGAAAGAGTCTGCGAAAGCGTCCGAGATCTTCTGACAAATTGTTATATAGCCAAATGCAAAACGAATGACTCCAATTTAAACATTCGAGCGTAAGAGAGAAAAATGACTCGACAAAAGTATGTGACAAATGTAGAATGTATGTATATTTTCTAGTTTCTCTTTTATACGATTATTCATACCTTTATTTTTGCCATATTTCGAATAATATTATAAATTATAGTTAATCACTTATTAATGCTAACAATATGCAATTTTATAAACTAAATTGCAACTTATATTTATATGCAAAGTATATTAAAATTTTTTATTTTATTATTAATATTAACAGTTTTTTTTGAAAAATTTAATATTTATTTAAAAAAAAAATTAACCAGCGCTCTCTAATTTCATAATTTGCTTGAAATTTTATTTTTAATAAATACAATATATGTTAATAAATAATTTTTTAATAAATAATAAGTAAATTATAAAATAAACGATGAAATGTTGTTATTTAGATTATATGTATAATAATTTTTTATCATTACAAAATAAAGTAAAATATTCTTTATGCAACTAAACAATAACATGCACAACAATGCGCAATTTAATTTAATCAAATAAAAAAGAATTATTGTAATAAAATGAAAAGGTTCTGTTTTATATATACAGGTCTTATTTAAAAAAATCCAAATATCTTTTAAACCATGCATTTTAGAGAAAAATGTTTCAAACAAAAGTTGTAGAATTTTGAGGGAAAAGCAGTAGGCGCTACTGACTTTTCTCTAAAAAGCGATTTTCGAGGTCATTTGAAGGTCACTTTTATATTTTTAAAATGGAACTTATATCCTAATTTTTGTATATAAATAGATTCCTCGCAATATTCATTATAAAAATTATAAGAGTAAAATGATCAACAAGTAAATAGTTTACGTGATATTTTATATTATAATTTAACGTAATTTTATAAACTATGAAAATCTTATAAAATATTCATTTTCGTCTGTCTTATCTCAATACTTTTATGTACAAAATAACGAGAAGAATCAATTGGAACAAAGAAAATATAGTTTTATTTTTAAGAAAAAATATGTAGTTGCAAATTATACTATAATTTTTTATATAGTAAATAGTAGAAAAATTGATTTATATTCTAACTAAGAGATTAAGATAGTTCTCTTAAAAAAATGTCTCCAATGATATCTTGAAAGTGCCCTTTGAGAGGCATTCTAGAGGTCATCTAGAAGTCAATTCTAAGTTACGATATTATGTCCTCCTCTACAACTTCCTTTTATATGGAACATTTAAAAAATTTTTAATACAAGATACTAGACCGTATCACTTAAATACCCTGTACGAAGATTTTCTCTTTCCTTTCGATATGCAAGTAACAATTATTATTAAGAACTGTTTCCTTTGTCAATCTTTAATTATCGAGCTTGTCATGCACTGCATGCAACTTCATCAACTGTACGATTAAATCGAATAATGCGAATCGACTCGTTCCGCTAGGTCGATGGCCTTCGTGGAAAAAAAGGAAAGAAAGAAAGATCAGCGCGTTGCAATATCGTAAATGCTGACAGTTGTATACGCAATCAAGTACGCATCCTTGACATAAGGCGTATGTCAAAATCTCGTGTATACCTCATATATATTTTTTACAGATAATTGTTCTCTTATAGTGCACTGTGTTTTTAACAGGGTTGGGTAAGTTGATGATTTTTTAAAACTAAGTTAAGTTAAAGTTATATAGTTGCTCATAAAATTATAATTTAGTTAAGTTAAAAGTTTGCATGAACAAAAACTTAACTCAGTTAAAGTTTAAGATAAGATTAAATTAACTGAAGTTAAATTAAAAGTTAATTTTAAAAACATTATTTATAATAATTTAGAATTTTATTTGTTAATTCTTTTAAAATTTATAATAACAAATAACAAAGAAATTTTGATTTTTATATAAAAATATATTTTTTGGTAATTATAATTGATGACAAATTAACATCAAAATTAATAATATTTTAATTTAAAAATAATACGTTTGTAACTTATAAAAAACAATAATGGTATGCAGAGATATAAAAATTTAACTTAGGAAAAAAGTTAATAAGTTTAAGCAAAAAAGGTAAACTAGTTGAAGTTAAAACTTAATACATTTTAAATTAACTAAGCTAAGTTAAAAGTTATTAATTTTGTAACTTTTAACTAATTAGCTATATAGTTATTATCCAATCCTAGTTTGTAATTTGTCTTTTTACATTAATACAATATCTTTTATAAATGAAAAACATCAGAGGAAAACATCGAAACTTGTAATAAAAGTTATGATGATAAACTTTATATTCTTCGATATGCAAAATATGTTATCGTGAATTCCGTGTTTAATTTTAAATTTGCATATACATAAATAATTTTTTTGTTCTGCACATCATGCATTTATTTCAAATATTCAAAAATATAGAGTATAAAAAATAAAGAGTAATTGCAATTTATTTTCTATATATCTATTATTTATTTTTCGTTATTATTAATTATTAATTATTTACAATATTATGTAATTATTGCTTGTGTAAGTTATTTACAATCGTGTATCATAACAATTAAAAGTTACCTGATTAGTCTGTCTATGAGTAGCTTCGATAACAGCGAAAAATATCAGCAATGTCAAGCATAATGAAAACGGCCTTGCCATTCTGAAAAATATTAAAAACCTTTTTATTAAATATTAATCTTTCTTTCAGTAAAAGTAAAATTAATTAAAAAATACACTTATTTAAAAATTGCAATATATTAATATATTTTTAATAAATTGCAATATGTTAATGTATTTTTAATAAAAAAATTTTTTAAGGCTTATAAATTTAAGAATTACAAAATTATGTTGTAAATATTATCATTATTTATTATATTTGCAACTTACTTATATATTTTTTTTCTTAGAATATCAAATTTTTCTAATATCAAACTAGAATATCACTAACAAAGAAAGTTCAATATTTTAAAGTTCCTATATAGGAACTTTTAATACGAGAACATGTTCTCGTATTAAATTATGATGTCGAAAAAATAAATGAACTTTTATTTACAAAATATATCAAAATTAAGTTTTTTTTTTAATACGATTTTTAATTATTAACCTCGATGTTCGCACTAATATGTGGTAGTAAAAAATACTCCAAAAATTCTTTTTGTTTTGTTATCCTGCATCAATAAATGAATGAATAAATATTGACTCAAATGCCCTGATAATCTTTATTTTAACATATATATTATCAAGATTATAATCCTGAATAATTTCCAAAAGCTGAATAATTTTTTAGCGTTTTAGTTGTTTTTCGTTGTTTATTAAAAAATTATTAACAAATCAAGTTTCGTGCAATGGAAGATTCGAAATTGGCAACGAAAAATTCGAATATAAAATACAACAGTCTAACATATACAGAACTTTATATGTATAGGGTGTTAAAAAATGTCAAAAATTGAAAAATAAATTCTTAATCTTAATAAATTCTTAACTCATTATTTATTAAGAAAATTATGTATTGACGGTAGTTAATTAATTAGTAAAAGAAAGATTATATATATATATATATATATATATATATATATATACACAGGGTAGGCCATTTTAATCTTTCCACTAAAATTTCTCAAAATCCAAAAATTTAAGACAAAAATGTTTCAGATAAAAGTTGTATGGTTTCAAGGGGGACATGAGATGGTGTCATTGATTTGACCTTGAATAGCCATTTGAAGGTTACGTAAAGGTCAACTTCAATTTCTTAAATGGAACACTATATTTTTTCTTGCATACTTTTGTAGCTGACTTCGAGATCTTTCCAAAACACTACAATAAAATATTTTTTCATGAAGTATTTTTCGAGTTATTAAGGCTGCAAATTTGCAGTATTTTGACATAAAATACAAAATATCTTGGGAAATATTCATTTTTCGATTATCATACCTTAATACTTTTATGCACAGAATAATGAGACGAATCAATTGGTGTAAAGAAAACACATAGTTGTCTTAAAGAAAAATTATCTAACTGCTTATTGCAATTTTCATATTTTTTTTTAAAGGTAACTATGTGTTTTCTTTACATCAACTGATTTATCTCATTATTCTGTGCATAAAAGTATTAAGGTATGATAATCGAAAAATGAATATTTCCCAAGATATTTTGTATTTTATGTCAAAATACTGCAAATTTGCAGCCTTAATAACTCGAAAAATACTTCATGAAAAAATATTTTATTGTAGTGTTTTGGAAAGATCTCGAAGTCAGCTACAAAAGTATGCAAGAAAAAATATAGTGTTCCATTTAAGAAATTGAAGTTGACCTTCACGTAACCTTCAAATGGCTATTCAAGGTCAAATCAATGACACCATCTCATGTCCCCCTTGAAACCATACAACTTTTATCTGAAACATTTTTGTCTTAAATTTTTGGATTTTGAGAAATTTTAGTGGAAAGATTAAAATGGCCTACCCTGTATATATGCAAATGAGTGTTGAATGTAATAATTTTAGTTTTTTAATATAAACTTTATTATTTAAATAATTATAAATTTAAGTTTATACATAGATTGGGCAAAAAAAACTTCGCTCCTTTTTCTCCATTTCCAAAAAAATCTAACTCAAATCTATTTTTAATTTAAAATTAAAATTACATTTGGGTTAAATTATAAATTTTTGAAATAAAATAAAATAAAACTACAAAAAACTAAAAAACTTTTCTTTTTGTACTCAAAAATTTGTGTAGTAAAGCATATCAAAAGAACTATTTAAAAATTGAATTAGAAATTGATTTAGAAATAAGTGAAATCTTTTCGCAAGTTTGATCAAATCGTATAAGTTACTTTTTAAAACAAGAAACAAAAAATAAAGCGATAAAATATTGCTATATTGCTATTGTTATCGATAGAAATAGTAATTTTGATAATAACTTTAAATTTTATTATTTATTATTTACGAATTTTATTATTTATTTATTTTGAATATTATATATTTCGAACAATTGTCGATTATACAATAGAGAGAAACGATAAAATGCTAAACAAAACTTACGGCAATAATTTTTATGTAATATCACATTCTAAATAAACATTCTTTACGTTTCTTTGAATAAAAATCATGCTGTATAAATTTAAAAAATAATATTTACTTTATTGTTACATCACGCGAGTAAAACTTATATTAATACATATATTAATTTCTATATTGACAAGTTAAAAAGATACAAAGCACAAAATATATATTCAACTTAACTAATAAATATTTAATTTTTTTAATCTAAAAATATAAAAATTTGTGCTCTGAAGAAGGAGAAAACAAGTTTATTAAAAATTTATTTACAAAGAAGAAAAGTGAAGATAGATCGTACACTCAACAATTCTTATGCATTATCACTATTCTAAATCGTAACATTTAGGGATTCATCTATCTTACTCAATTAAAATTTTAAAGATATTATTCTATCTATATCCGCTAGAGATTTGCTATATATAGATAATACGCATTGAACCTAGATGAATATAATATATATATAGATTTCTGCAAATATCTGTTTATTATGAGTTATATAATTTTACGAAGAAAAAATAGGTAGATAATAGAAATTTATAAAAAATAAAATATAAATTTAAAAAAATAAAAATTATAAAAGAAATAAAATAAAAATAATGTAGTTAAAAACAGAAAGGCGAAATATATATTATACATGTTTTAGATCGCATGTGATTTCTTAATTTAACTTATAATTTCTCATGCACTTTGCAAGTGCAAATAGACGTGAATAGATGAGAAACTCGCTTTAGTTTGCCTCTTTTTTAACAATTACGCGTCAATAGAAAGTAAATCCTTTTACGCAATATTCAATCGGTTATTCTATATTGGACTGGTTTTCAGAATAGTTTATTCTGTGATACAAATGGCTAATAAAATATTATAAATATGCGAAAAATATCTTGAAGAATATTAAGAATATTATGAGATTTTTTTAAGATATTGAAATTTGAAATTATATAAAATTATATTTTAAATTATTATATTTATTATATTTTAAATTATACAAACTTTTCAGATTTAAATGTTTAATTAATATGGTGTAATTTATATTAACAATTTGATTAAAAGAATATTATCACATATAATATTATAATATACAAATCTTATTACATCATAATTTATATTATATAATTATAATTTATATTATAACTAATATATTTGTATAATACGTATAGAAATCAAGCGTATAACATAAGATATAAAAAATACTCGAATCATTTACTCTTTTCTTTATTGACATATGTATATGTATATTTTACATGTGCGCGGTAATAATTGAGGAATTTTAAAACTCAGATCAGATTGTCGAGATCGTGTTATTGTACTAAAAATAAAATATATCATCAAATGAAAAATTACGACGAGCTGGACGGAAATAGAAAATTTTCAATGTTTGAGCGATCGTTATTATGATTACACGGGTGCCCGAGTTTTACGCAAGAAACGGAGGTCATATATACATCTGGCGATTCGCGTGCACGTGAAAGTGGTTTGCCGAGTCGAGTATATTGGCCAGTTGAGGAATGACCAGTTAATTCTGAATATATCCTAGTCTGTTGACGCCGCGAGCCACCTTTCGCGATCAACGAATATCACCAACCACGAATATATTGGCGCAAATTAACAAAAAAATGTGCGTATAATTTGAAATAGATTATATTTCTCTCGGAAAATACGGTCACCGTAATTATTACTCATTTTTTAAATACATTTTTCCTTCAAACTAAAAATTAATACGCAATGATGTTATTGGTATATCACTATAATACTTAATTTTAGCATCATTGGTTCTAATTTTATCGTGTGTGAGACAAAATATAGAAAATTGTTCCACTTTTAAAGAGCAAACAGAAAATGGAAGTATAAAATGTAAAATGCCTATTTTATAAAATGTTTTAAAAAAGGACTATTCTACATTTTTATTTAAATGGTATTCATTACTCGAATGAATACAATTCAGAATCGATGTCAAATTCGTCGAATCGATATCGATTAGACCAATCATTTCTCACTAGGTACGGACGGATCATCCGTCCTTTATTTTAAAGAATAGTTCCTTTTTCAAGTAGCTATCAATTTTATCCATATTTAAAATATTTAAAAAATTTTGTCCTTTACTTTTTATTTAGCATTTTATTATTGTCTAATGTCGCAGCCCAGACAGCACACAATATTTATGATAAAGATTCATAAGTATTTATAAATATATATTTTTTTCCAATATTATATAAATATTTTAAAAATGTTTTATAAAAACCTTTATTTAACATTATTATTAAAACATAGATTAAATATTTTATATAATATTTATGGTATGTAAAGATAAATATTTATAGTAATTATTTTGTAAATATTTTTTAACTAAATTGTTAGTTCGTTCATTTACTGTTATATGACGTATCTTTCTCGTATTTAATTTTTGTCGTGAGAATTATATAAGGCTGGCAAAAATGGAAATTAATAAAATTAAAAATGTCATAAAATTATTTCTATTTTTGAGCTAAATTCTGCATCAGAATGTCTTTTAACAAATAAAACGTATATATCGATGTGTACGTAAATTTACTTGTTAAACTATATACTATGTTGCCTAAGTATGGTCAGTGTATATTATAATTTTATAAAATGGTAGTAATTTAATCAAGCAACTCTGGCAAATTAAGTGATCTTTATTTAATATTCACGACGTTTCGGCCATGGGTTTCGGCCCTTATCAAGTGCTACAATATATAATAATGATATATATTGTAGCACTTTATAAGGGCCGAAACGTCGTGAATATTAAATAAAGATCACTTAATTTGCCAGAGTTGGTTGATTAAATTACTACCATTTTTTAATTATTATCTGGTGACTTCACAGTTTTTCACATCTTTTATTATAATTTTATATTCTATTTTAAAATAAATGTCTAATGAGTTACTTATAAACATTTTTTATACATTTTTAACTTTTTATGGCTAATAGAGTTTGAAAAACACAAAAACATCTAATCGACCAAATTTTAGATTAGACTATATCAATCAATTGCTTTGATTGAAAAATCGTTGATTATCTTTTTAACTCATGATTTCTTACTGGGTATTTATTTTAAAAATATAATTTTTTTTTAATTTGTATTATAATGATTTAATAAATATATATTTATAATATTTACCATAATATTTATCGTAAATATTTTCTGATATTATGATAAATATTTACGATCTATTGAATCTTCCAAAAACATTTATAAAATATTTATGATAAATATTTATAAAATATAAAAATAATTATTATAAATATTCTATAAATATTTTATAAATATTCTGTACTGTCTCAGAGTATTAATATAAATTTGTACGAAAACAATGGGTACTTCTAGAAGGATAACTTAGAAGGAATAAGAGGAACCTATTTAAGAAACCAAAGATTTGTGTCAACATAGACGAATCAGTATCAAACTATAAGAATATATATAAACTTCTGATAGTAACAAAATTACTTTTTTTGCTTGTCGATCTTCACTTTGATCGCAAACTAATTTGGAAACATATTGAAACATATATGGCCTTAAAAATCGAGTTTGTCTTCTTTATTTGTCCTATCAAAAAATATGGTCACCATAATTATTACTCATTTCCTATTTCAAAAATATATTTTTCTTGCAAACTAAAAATTAATTGAGATACTAATAATATATATATATATAATGATGCCAGATTTGGTACCAGTCCTCATTATTTGGCATCATTGGTTTTAATTTTACAAATACTTATAGAAGGAAAATATAGAGAATTATTGTTTCACTTTTAAAATGCAATAAAAAATATCATTTTAAAAGAATAACTGTAAATATCTGTGAACAATAATATAAGCAAACATTTTTTGTAATCCCATATGTAAATATTTATATATATGTAATTTATAACTATCTTATAATTTACTATCTTTATAATTATAACTATCTTTATAACTATTTTATAATTTATAACTTTCGTAATTTAAGTTCGTATTAAAAAAATAAGAAAATTTAAATATAAAAATAATAGTAAGAAATATCAATAATAAAAAATAAAAGAATTTAAATATATAAATAAATATATAAAATGTAAATATTTTTAAAAAATTTTTATTCTAAAAATGTCTATTTTCCATTTCCCATTTAAAATGAGTGGCTATTTTCTAATGGAAAGATTTTGACACTATTTTGCGTTTTCTCTATCTCAAATAAATTTGAATACCCATTTTACACATATGTCTGTTAACAATACCAAAATTATCCTAATATATAAATAATTTATATTACAGAAGTTTCCGCGCGGCATACTTTTAAAAAGAAACAATATCGAATCAATAATGCGCTCACCTTGCAATTGTGTCTAATATCCTTAACGTTTCATTTCAAGTCACCACGGCACAATTTGCTGCAGCAATAATCCGTAATACTTTCACCAATAACGAATTGAAGCAAAGAAACTTTAAAGCTGAGTCGCGCGCGGGGAGAGAAGAATAAATAAATCACAATATGTTTTTCGAAACGGAAGAGTAAGACACTTTTTTCGATAAAGCCGTTTCAGCGAAAGAAAAAGTTTCCAGGAGAAAAAAAAAGAAAAAAAGGAAATTGAACCGAACGACAGATAATGACAAATGATAAACAGATCAGAGGCGACGCACGTGGCGCATTTTCGCGACGCGTCGCTGTCCTTTCTCGCGCTTTTGAACGGGAGTCGAACGACGATAATCGGTGGAACGTTCCGAGACAAATGCAAGCTGTCCGCTCGGCCGTCTCAAAAATTTCCGGCCGCCGACGTTCGGGAGGGAAAAAAAAACGATTCGATCAGATTTTCCCTTTCGCTCGAATGTGGAACCATCACCATCACCACTACCACCACCACCACCGCCATCACCGCCACGATTACCACTCTTTTGCTGTGGCCATTGCTGTCGTGTTACTATCGCCAATACGACGAAAAACAAATTAAATAAAGACCAAACGTCCAAAAGATTAGAATTAATAAACTACCGGAGTTATTTTACGGAAACGAACGACTATTAATATAATTCCCAGACAGCACCATGTCCAAAATTGGTGCATAAAATATCTTTAAGGTGTTTTTAAAATGTCTTTGGGATATCATATCATCAGATTTCTTAAAAATATCTTGAAGATTTCTTAATAATGTTTTATGCCAATTTTGGACATGGTGCTATCTGGGATTCTTTGTGATGGTTACCTATGATATTATAGGGGTTTGTCTTCCCAGACAGCATGTCCAAAATTGGTTTATAAAACATCTTTAAGGTGTTTTTAGGATGTCTTTTGGATATTACATCATCAAATTTCTTAAAGATTTCTTAATGTTATTTCATGCCCCAATTTTGGATATATGGTGCTATCTGGGTTATTTCGGGTAAACATGGCTGTCTAACTATACTTTATCCATTACACTGGTTAACCTGATTTTATATATTGCCAATTATGGGCTGCAGCATAGACGTCTGCATAAAGGCGCAATTTAACGTGCTGCTAAAACAAGTGATTAAAGCGACAGATTTGTCGCTCGTAATCCAACATCAACAATTTTGTAGTTTTAATCAGTTCAACTATAAAGCATTTACTGCTGAAACGCTTAACTTTATCAATTCTATCGCGCTGTTATCCTTTTCATGTACAAAAATTATCGCTGTTTAGTTCAGCGACAAAAGTTGTTACATGATCATTTTGTCGCTCAAACAATCGGTTTCAGCGGCTCGTGAAAAGACACCTTAACGCATAATGCATAACGCATAAATAAATCAACTAATCAGAGTCTTTCACTTTTAGGATAGAAATGAAGGACTCTGATTGATTGGATCTTTTTGATGTCTTACGCATTATGTGTTATGCAAAAGTCTGCGTTCCGCATTAGATTGATTTTAGGGTAACTTTATGTCACTGATTTCAAATACAGCATTACTTTTCTTCAGATTGGCTCTAATTTTTAAAATAATAAGTGTCCCATGGGAAACATAAAAAATGAAAAAATGTAATGGTTAGGCGTAATCTATCCCCAAATTATATACGGAAATTGTCTCAAATCATCTGAAAAATATATATATAAAATACATTCACTAAATAATACAAAAATAAAGTAAGCTGATTTTCAAATAATCACAGTTAATGCATCGAAAATCTCTTATTTGTATGATTTTTTTATGCAGGTCATCAGGATCACATTGAAAATAAAAACAATTTTAAATTATAAAAAGATTGACCAAATCCTGCTACATATATGTTAGTAACTACTAATCGTATTTAGCATAAAATCCTAACCCAGCCATAAATGATAGTTAAATCGACGTAGAATCTATGTCGAATCGATATCAATTCGACGTCTTTTCGACCGATCATTTCTGACTGAGAATTTAAATATCCATTATCTCAAAAACTAGTGCCAATTTAAAATTGTTGTCATTTTTGGATTCAGTATCTCCAGAATATTTTAAATTCATTCAAATATTTTTGGCAACTATAAACAAAACTTTCTTTTTATTGATCAGTGTTAAATTTTTTCATTTTCGTGGTTTATCAACCTTGATGGAATACATCCTGTATAGAGGGCAAGTATTGATTTTTTAAAAATCTTAGATTTTTAAATAAAATATTAACTTCTGAGTACACGGAGCTTTATCATGGAATAATTTCACTCTAGTACGAAATAAGCGCGAAGTAAAAGAAAAAAAAACCAGCAACTACAAATTAAAGAGAAAGGATTTCTGTATGGAGTAAGATCAGATATAATATATATAGTATATAATAAAGAGAACACTCTTTCGGGAAATATTTTCTGTGTACGACAGCGATTCAAGTCATTCGTCATTTTTTACTTTATTAATATATTAAGTTAAAATTTGACTAACTTTTACATGAAAATTTAAACTTTTATTTTGTATATATTTTTTTAATCCTAATTTTATACAACATTTTTAAATATCTCTATTTTTAATATAAAATAATTTCAATTATTTATTATTTTATTGAAACAACTCTTTTTTAAATGTTTTTTACATTATTAAAAATAAAATACTTTTTCTTGATTCTTTTTTTTCTAATTGCAAGTTATTAAAACAAGTTATTAAAATAGTGTACTAATTGTAAGTTTTAATAAGACATAATTATTTTTCCGCAAGAAAATATTGTATTCTTATGAGAAATTTTACATAAAAAATATGATATGTATTGCTCACAGTTATTAATTATGTATTTGTGATTTTACTGAACTAATAAAATGAAATATTTTACATGTTTTATAACAAGGTATTGTAAGGTTAACAAGGTTAATGATTTTTTAAAACTAAGTTAAGTTAAAAGTTAGTTGCTCATAAAATTAATTTAGTAAAGTTAAAAGTTGCATGAACAAAAAATTAACTCAGAGTTAAAGTTTAGATTAAATTAACTAAAGTGAAATTAAAAGTTAATTTTTAAAAACATTATTCATATTAAATTATAATTTTGTTTGTTAATTCTTTCAAAATATATAATAACAAATAACAAAAATTTTGATTTTTATATAAAAATATATTTTTTAATTACAAATAATAACAGATGAACATAAAAATTATTACTTTTAATTTAAAAATAATATGTTTATAACTTATAAAAAAACAAATTGGTATTCAGAGATAAAAAAATTTAACTTAGAAAAAGAGTTACTAAGTTTAAGGTAAAAATAATTATAAATGAAACTAAAAATTAATACATTTTTTTAAAATTAACTATAAGTTAAGTTAAAAGTTATTAATTTTTAACTTTTTTTAACTTTTAATTAGTTATAACTCAACTCTGTTTTATAATAGATCTTTTAACATTCAGAATTAGAATCATATATCTAGAAATCAAACATTTAAAAATCAAACATAATCCTACATCAAGGAAAAAAATTATTTTAATTAAAAATATAAAACATAAGTTTTAAAGAAGAAAAGAATAAAGTATAGAAAGTACAAAGTATACTTGTTTGGAAAGAAGTTGTACTGCATATGATATGCACACAACTAGATAAACATGTGCAACTAATTCACAAGCAATTATAGATGTTGAAACGAAATCATGCGATGAAGAACGTTTGTGTGTGTGTGTGTGTGTGCGCGCTTGCGCGTGCGCGCGTGTGTGCGTGTGATAAAAAATTATATATGTGCGCATCATGACATCTTGCTTTCTCTTTAACATCCATGTCGAGAAACAGATCATTATATACATAGAATCGATAATATTGTCTCGTCTCGCTATCGCTATCGTCTCGATATTCCGAAAGTGGGTTAAAATATGCAGAAAATTATATAGGTGATTCAATTACTTTCACGATTGATGACCTAATTTGCGCTAGTATTGAATATATTAATACGTTAAAATAAATAAATATAAGTACTCTATCTTTGTTCAAAATCGCGATATCAAAAGAAAGTGAGAAATTGAACGATTTCACAATACTTCAATTTTTTATTATTAATAATAATAATAATTCTTGTTTTTTCATTAAAACTGCACCCTAGTAGCACAATACATATTGGTCATACATCCCTTATAGAAATTTATCACTAATAACGCCAATTTATCACTTATTTTGAATACCTAATCACTTATTTCGAGTACTTAAATTACTGTATATCAGTATTTTAACTACAAGTGATACATTTCTACAAGGAAAGTCGACCATAAAATTTTGAAAAAAAATTGCACTAATAAATTAAAATTTTTTTAACAATAAAAGTGCCTGTTTAAAAATATATAGGAAAATATTAATAAAATTGTCATCCGTTCGATAATGAAAAATATATAACCCCCATAGCAAAAACAATAATGATCCCAATTACACGGCACCCTTAATCGGGTTTAATAACATCTGTAGTTGTAAGACTAGCCAATCACAGCCGTTTCCCTGAAGAATGGAACGGCTGTGATTGGCCAGTCTTACAATTACAGATGTTATTAAACCCGATTAAGGGTGCCGTGTAATTGGAGTTAGTAATATCATAAAGGTCTTTTACACGGCACCCTTAACCGGGTTTAATAACATCCGTAGTTGTAAGACTGGCCAATCACAGCCGTTCCATTCTTCAGGGGAACGGCTGTGATTGGCCAGTCTTACAATTACGGATGTTATTAAACCCGATTAAGGGTGCCGTGTAATTGGGGTCATAATAACGTACCGATCAAAAATTATAAAAAAAATTAATTATTGACCCTAATGATTAACTCTTTAAAAAATGCAAAAGCGTGTTTCAAAATTTATAAAATACTTATATAAAATTAGTCCTCTATTTGATAAAAAATAAAGAACATGACATAACATATATAAACATAATAAATCCATGCTGGCGTTCTCTTGTAATTTAACGATAGTATATTGTGTTACAAATACGGAAAGTTGGCTATTGGTCACGAGTGCG